CTTTAGAAAGTCCAGTGTTATTTCATAACATTTTAATGGTTATTTCAGATACCTACTGAGGTGAGGATTTTTTAACCTAGTAAAGGTTTTGTTGTTACCTTTATGCATGCTTTGTTTTTAATAAAATAATGTACAATGCAATAAAAATTTGTATGTGTGATGTTTTTCACGAGTGACCTTAGGTCTCTCTGAGACAACAAGCCTGTGCTCTGCCTTCCAGGATTGTGGCTGCACTGACTTCTGTTGTATGTAAAGACTGCTTAATAGTCTCCTATGTGACATCATTCCAATAATGTTCATAATGAAGACATCTTTCCCTTTCCTTCTTCCCCTCCTCTCTCTAAGACTGTGGGGAGACTTGTTGTCCCAGTGGATACCATTAGAGAATACACAGTGAAAAGGCTCCTTTTGGACAGAGCCACATATGAACACACAAGCTCACTGACTGAATTGTGTAGTGCACATGACTTTGTTCTAAATTGGATATTATTACTAGCAAAGAGATTAAAGGGTGGCGATTGGTGGTTTTTAAAATAGGGTAAACGCAGCTGTTTGACAGCAGACAAGGCTAGAAGTACAAGTGCTAGAAGTACAAGAGCATTACCAGTCAGCCAAACCATCTTACTGTACAAAGAGAGCTGAAAGGCCCTGTTCATGTGCTATGAATTCTGAATTAAATAAAATATTGGGTGTTGAATACCAACTAGTAACCCTTATGTACTTTCAAAACTTTGTGCCTTGATGCTAGTGGCAGCCAATTACAGCAGCTCCTGTCTCGAGAGACATTATACTATATCTTACCTATGTGAAAAAGGAGGGACTGTATAAAAACGGCTGTAATTCCTAAATGGTTAATGCAATATTTTTGTTAAACCCCTTGAATTAAAGCTGAAAGTCTACATTTTGAAATGTAAATGAAAGATTGTTTCATTTCAAACCCATTGTAGTGGTGTACAGAGGCAAAATTACAAAAATTGTGTCACTGTCCAAATACTTATGGACCTGGCTGTATATTAAGTTTTCTACTTACATATCTGTCACTTGTCGTTTCTTCAGCTCTTCTTTTTCTTAGTTTCTAAGTTTCTGTCTTTTTAGGCACATAGTTTTTTTTATGTATTATGCACTCTATGCCCAGAATGGAAAACCATGGGGAGAGAGCAGATCACTTCACTGTACAGACCTGAGCAGCTGCTGGCACTCCAAAGATCTGTGCCACTCTCCAGAATGCAGTTCAATATTCCCGAAGAACTGCTGAAACCCTACAGAGGATGCAGAGCTGGATGCAAAACAAAGGCAAAGAGAAGATGCTACAAGCCATTTATTCCTTCCATCATCATGGGGAACTTTAGGTCTCTTGGCAATAAGATGGACGACCTCAGTGCACTTATTTGGACCCAGAGGGAGTATTCAGACTGCAATTGCTTTGTTTCACCAAGACATGGCTGCATGAGGATATTCCAGACTTCAATGCTTCCTTCCCCAGTATTCAGACAGTGAGTCACTTGACTGAGTGGTAAGAAGAAAGGTGGAGTGGCAGCACTGTTTGTAAACAACAGATGGTGTAACCCGGGACTTTACTGTGAAGGAATATCACAGTTGCCTAAACATTGAACTGTTGGCTGTTGGTTTGCATCCACATTATCTGCAGAGGGAATTCATGGCTGCCATTATGGTCATTGTTTACATCCCCCCAGCATCTGACACAGAAGCAATCGTACATGATATCGTACATTCGGCTACCTAACAACATGACGGACTGCATCATGGACTACAACAATTTCTGCATGGACACTATAGTTTTAGTCAGGCAGGTGTATTGTTTTCCTAATAACAAACCCTGGATCACCAAGGACCTGAAGGAAGTAGTAAATAAGAAGAAACAGGCTCTCAGGCAGATGAAAAGGGTGCAGAAGGAGTTAAAGGCAAGACCAAGGGAGAACAAAGTAACCTACAGAAAGAGGCTGGAGGGCAGAACAACGCAAAAGAGGTGTGGGTTGGCATGAAGCAGATCACCTGCTTCAAAGCAAAATCTCAACCTGTGGGGATGCTCTAAAAAGAGCTAATGAGCTGAATTTGTTCATCAATAGGTTCAGCACAACGCTCTCCCCCCATTTCCTCCACTCTCTCACCACCACTCTTCCCCAACTCCCCCAAGATCAAACATCTTTCCCTACCCTGTTGTCTACACCAATTCTCCCCTGCCCATCTCACAATCAGTCACCCCCTCTCACCCAACAGCCATCCTTAAGAGACTCACATCTACCACCCCCTCACCTATCTGTCACTACCAGCCAGGTGAAGAGACAGTTGGAGAAGCTGAAACCTGGGAAAGCTGCAGGGCCTGAGAGAATCACTCCCAGATTACTGAAGCTTTGTACCAACTAGCTGTGTGGGATCTTCCAGCACCTCTTAAATTGAGCCTTCAATCGGAAAAGGTGCCAGAGCTATATAGGAAAGGGATGAGCAGACTCTACTGAAGAAGCTCCAGTCCTTTAATGTTTGCAGCAAGATGTTGGAGATCTACCAGTCTGTGGGAGCCAGTGCAGTTTTATTTGTCGCAGTATACTGGGGAGGTGGCATCAGAGCTGAAGTTGCAATAAAACATAACAAACTGATCAAGAAGGCTTGGTTTGCCCTCTGGACTGTACAACAATGTACAACAGCTCATCACTGTACTGGGACACTATTTCGCACTGAGCCAGTCTCAGGATAAGCTCGCTGGACAAGAGTTGAACTTTTCCACTATTCATATACATGTGCACTGCCACTTTACTTCTATTCATTTCTCCCTTTTCTTTTCTTTTCTTTTCTTTTCTTTTCTTTTCTTTTCTTTTCTTTTCTTTTCTTTTCTTGTCTTGTCTTGTCTTTTCTCATATTCACTCTACACAATACTGTATATCCCTGTTCAATTTATGGCTGTTTACAATGCTTACATTGTTGACAATGTTTGCACTGCACTGCCACTTTAATTCCACTCATGTCTGCTCCTTACAGTGTAGGTGCTTTATAGGTGCTATTATTTCTAATAATTCTAATACTGGTAGAAGTATTATTTCTAATACTTCTACTAGTATCAGAAGGAGTATTTATTTCTAAGTATTAAAAATAATAGCAGTAAAACAAATTATACATTGAATAAAGGAACACTATAGCTTTAATGATATTACATATTACATTAGGATGAAATTAATAAAGTTAGGATGTAAATTAAAAAAATATATTCTTATGCTTTAGTATAGCAAGTCACCCAATAGCAAATTTTATAGCTATTGTCACCTTTTATAGCTAAAGTCACCTTTGCAGCATGCATTGAAACTCTTTACACAACTTACACCTAACTTGACAGCCATTCTTCACTTTCACATTTGGTAGCATTGCTGCGTCACACCTCCAGAGTTCTCCTTTTGATCCTGATCTTGGACAACTATCTGGCAGTGTGTTGCATGTTCCTCCTGTACCTCTGTGGGTTTCCTCAGGGTTCTCTGGATTCCTTCACCTCCTAAAGATATTCCAGCAAATTGCTACTTTAAATTGCTCGTCCATGATTGTGGGAACCTCATCTTAAGATAGTCCAAAGTTTGCTAAGAGCCAGTATGGCAAAGGTTTTTATGGCAGGTGTGCTCTCGTTGGTTTGGAATGAAAATCTTCAGCCACACTAGTTCTTTGTGAATAAGACTGTATTCCCCTTACCAAACTCATCCACACTGTACTAATGTTAATGTTGAAACCAATCTATCAGACTAGTACACATCTCAAGAAGATCTGTCAAATTATAAACAATAACTAGGACATGGAATATATAAATAGTAGTGTACTGACAAAACAGTAAGAGTAAGAATTGTCTGAATATATAGAGTCCAAAAGTATTGGAATAGCAAGGACGAGTCTTTCCTTTTTGCTATATGCTGAAAACATTTTGGTTTGAGATAAAAAGATCAATATAAGATGATAGATCACAATTTCAACTTTCCTGATATTTACATCTAGATTTGTTAAACAACTTAGAACATGGCACTTTTTGTTTGAACCCACCCATTTTTCTAGTGATCAAAAATACTGGACCATGTAACTGACAGGTGTTTCTTGTTGCCTAGATGTTCCCTGTTAGATTGATTGTTTAAATAATTAATAGCTCTGAATGTGTACTTTTGGATTGATCCCTGGGTTTCACCTATGAAGACTGCATTTGTTCTTAAACAAATGGATAAACCAACATGAAGGCCAGAGAGCTGTCTATGGGAGAAAAGCAAGCCATTTTGAAGCTGAGAAAAAAGGGAAAATTGATCATAGCCATTGCACAATCATTGGGCATAGTCAATACAACAATTTGGAATGTCCTGAAACAAGAAAACATTGGTGTACCAACAATCAGACATGGCACAGGTCGGCCAAGGAATACAACAGCAGTTGATGGCAGAAAGATAGTAAGAGCTGTGAAGAAAAACTCAAAAACAACAGTCTGTGACATTACCAACAACCTCCACAGGGCAGGAATAAAGGTATCATAATCCAAATTTTGAATAAGACACTGTTCGAAGAGCAGGGCTGTATAAGACGTGACTTAAATAGTGTTCATTAAACATAAACATGGATCAGGTGGAGACAGTCATTTGACATAAGTATCGTGATCAGGTGGCTTATGGGAATCAGATAGAATACCTCACAGTTTCCCCACAGATGATTTGTGCAGGACTATAATAGATATATTCAATGGGAGGTGAAAAACACCATCAAAAGCAATGTTTTGCTGTATTTCAGTTTTTGTGGAATTGGTATTGACTTAGCTAAATAGTAAATTGCATTGAGCAAACTAATTTCTCTCTGGAGTATGATAAAAAGAGGGGCTGGTGACAAAGACAGAAAGAAGAGGAGCAACAATAATATAATGAATGTGTATCACTAACATGTCTCCATTGAGTGGCTGCAAGGTGTCAGGAGCGAGATGCCTAATTCCCTAGTTCTAGAGTGACCACACATATGCTTACTATGTGTGTCCCCTTTGGAGATGCTAGGTTTTGATGCAGGACTATGTACATGTGAAGCACACACCCTAACACTGAGCTACATCCCCAGCAGGCTATCTACCAATTTACAATACTGTTGTATTGTACCACAACTCATAGATAACTATGCAGGAACTAAGCAGGAACAAATGAGTAGTTCTCAATTAATGCACATCTATTAATTACTCAGTAAGTATGTTAGTAGGAGTTCACTATTATCTAAGTAGGGATTAGTCTTACATTACATTAGTCTTACCTTCAGAACTACTGTAGTACTAAATATAAAATTATATTATCTGATTCCACTGCTACCTTATAACCATCTTATAGGCACAGTCTAAGGTTAAATGCGTTCTTTTAACTTTTCTGACTCCAATATTTAATTAAAGATCTGGCTCCAATACTTAATCCACTTTAGTATCTGACTCCAACAATTTCTTAGCTTAATAACCTTTTAGTTAAGGTATTAAATGTATAAAATCTCAGTGTTCAATTGCACATTTAATCTAAACAGCTTTGTTGTAAGCTTTCACTAGAAAGTAGGTTTCTATCAACATGCAAGCGTAGGCCTTTCCTATTTACTTTGTCAGAGGTTTTCATTTAAACTTGCCAGTATTAGTCTTTTATACTAGCTTGTCAGAGGTTGCTTTCAAATGTATCTAAAGTACTAAAACTTCAGATAAAAAAAACTATTTCTAGTAATCATACAAATCATGCACTATTCATGCTTTTCTTCAAAAGAAGTACTGAGTATTTAGGAATAAATTAATAACAGTGTTTATTATAAAAAAAATACAAATAGGAATATAAGATATGTATACAGACAGAAAAAAATAGAGAGAATTTACAGAGTCAATGGACAGAGTTGCCAACATAGAATATGGATCGTATTGCATCAGAGAGAGAGATCAGATGTGAGATTCTCTCGAGACTAGATGGAACAGCCTCTTCCACAGATCCCTACATATACCCCATGCACCTCTTTGAAGTGTATATTTACATGGACTGATCAGAGTATCAAATGGCAGAGACAATGTATTTTATGGCAGAGTGGACACCCAGCTGGGTAAACTCACCCCAAAGTGTTTTATGGTAATTCGTTTGCTGGGAAAGAATTTGCAAAACAATGGCAAAAGGGTCCCCATGTAGACTAGGTGGCTCCAATATGTACACTCACTGAACACTTTATTAGGAACACTATACTAATACTGGATAGTATAGGACTACCATCCCTTTGCTCTCAAAACAGCCCCAATTCTTTGTGGCATGCATTCCACAATATGTTGGCAACATTCCTTTGAGATTCAGGTCCATGTTCACATGATTGCCTCACACCTGCAGATTTTTAAGGTGCATTTTCAGGTTGTGAATCTACCGTTCTACCAAATCGCAAAGGTGTTCTATTGGATTCAGATGCGATAACTGGGAAGGCCACTGAAGAACTTTGAACTCATTGTCATCTTCAGGAAACCATTTTGAAATGACTTTTGCTTTGTGACATGGTGCATTATCATGCTGGAAGTAGCCATTAGAAGATGGGTAAATTGTGGCCATGAAGGGATGCACATGGTCAGCAACAATACTCAAATAGGCTGTGGCATTCAAGCAATGATTGATTGGAATTAACAGGCCCAAAGTGCCCAGAAAACATTCCCCACACCATTAACCAGCCATCTCAGCTGTGCCCCACCATCTCTGTACTCCCAGCAGTCTGTCCCACCCCCACCCCTAGCCTCTCCTGGACTTCTAGCTCACAGCCACCTCCCTCAGTCACTTCCACCATAACCCCATCCTCCACACCTTCTGTCACAACTCCACCCCCCATCCACACCCTCCAGCACACAGTTCCCCTGCTCTAGCATGTCCCTTGCTACAGACCAGGTGAGAGCTGCACTCAGGAAAATAAAGGCAATGAAGGCTCCTGGTCCTGATGGCATCAGCGCTAGGCTCCTCAATTCCTGTGCAGACCAGCTATGTGGGACAGTGGAGTTCATCTTCACTATGAGCCTGAAACTGGGGAGAGTGCCACAGCTGTGGAAAATATCCTGCGTGGTTCTGGTGCCGAAGACGCCACATCCCAAGGACAGCTACAGACCAGTGGCTCTGACATCCCACCTGATGAAGACTCCGGAGAGGCTGGTCCTTGTGTATCTCTGCCATCTGGTGAGCCCATCAATGGACCCACTCCAGTTTCCTCACCAGCCTGGCATTGGGATGGACAATGCAGTCATCTTCCTCCTGCACAGGGCCCTCTCTCACCTGGACAAGCCTGGGAGCACTGTGAGAATCATGTTTTTTTTATTTTTCCAGTGCTTTCAACACTATAAAGCCTGCACTTCTGAGAGACAAGCTGGAACACACAGGAGTGGAACAGCACCTTGCATCCTGGATCCTGGAATACCTTACCAACCATCCACAGTATGTGAGGGCTCAGAACTGTGTGTCTGACATGGTAGTCTGCAGTACAGGGGCCCCTCAGGCAGTGGCGTCTCTGCTGCAGACAGGGAGAGACTGGATAAAATGAATAGGCGTTTTAGGTAAAGGAGTAGATCTGGGGGACTCAGGGATGTTGAGTCTTATAGTGATCTGGTGTGCTTGGATGCTGTCTTCCTCACTCTCACTGGTCACTCAGGTTTGTTGGCGGTGAGAGTGACTGTGAGCTTTGCACACCAGGGATCTCTCACGTCTTTGTCTCCCTCTGGTTCTCCTTTTAGTTATGC